TTTATGCTTTAAATATGTTTAAAGTTATTGTTGATACATTCATAATCACTTTTGGCCGAAGAATTTCTTTTTACTTCCTATTGTAATTCATTTATTATAGTTATTCTCTAGAAATATTGTAAGCCATAAGGCACTAAGTTTTTTGTATTTTTTTCTTTATTTTCACACTTGTATTTGAGGAAGAAATGTAATCTTTGTTTCTGTATTTTCAATTACGATGAAGGAAGGACAAAAATGCAAGAAACTCAAGAAACTCCTAGTGGCGGCGGTAGCGATGGCCGTCGTGACCTGAGCAATGGCAGTCGCCGCGACCATACACTGGTCGTGGCAGCTGCAGCAGCTGAAGTTGCTGCACAAAGGCAGCAGTTGGAGCTGCTGCTTTTGTGCAGCAGCGGCTGCTGTGTCGCTTGCCGGCGGTCCCTTTTTTTTGGGGTTGCTAGAGATTGCATCGTCGTCGAAGTTGTGTGTGCTTTGATGTTGTGTGTTTTTTCTTGCTAGGGTTTGAAAATTGGGGTAATTTGGATTTTTTTTGTGCCTCTCTTTGATACTTGGGCCAATGTTGTTGGATAATAGCCTTGTTGGTTTTAAGATTTGGGCCTAAAAATTAAATTAATCCTATTTTCATTTTACATGAGTTGGACTACAAAGAAGATTGAAGAATTGGGCCGGGATGTGGCCCAATGTAACTCTTTTTATCCATGTTGTAATTTAAATTCTTAGGATGAGCTATTAGTGATTATTATTCATTTAATTATCGCTTTTATCGCTTTATGGATGAATGAATGTTTAATTATTATCGCATGTCATGTAGATTAAATGAAACACCACCCGGTGCACTAAAATCATATACATTTACATTTAAATATTTTTTTATCACTCTAAATTAATTAGAGGTGGTTAAAAAATATTTTTATAATTAGTGTCATTATAATTATTTATATTTGATGGACTAATTAAGTGAAAATTCAATGGTGCAAAATAATAAGTGGGAGAGGGTTTATAGGCATGTATAAACCTATGGCCTCCTCACTCATCCAATTTGTTATTAAAATACGTATGTTTAGTATCGAATTATATCGGTCTCCCTATAGGAAAACTACGTTATTTTAGATTAATCGAAATTGGATCTAGTAATAGAATTTCTTTAAAAATGAAGTAATGGGATGATCATCCTATAGACGACATCTGATATATTTCAGATATTTTAAAATTATTGACGGAGGTTATTACACTTTTATATGAATATTTTTGGGGGACTTCCTATAGAAGATTTTAACAAAATTATTCATAGGCCAAATAATAATCAATCCTCATTTTCTTGTGGCATGAGATGCCTAGCTCAATAAAATGAGTGGGAGGGTCTTAACCTTGCCAACAACTACATTGACCTCCTATAAAGGACGTGTTAAAAGTTGTAAGGGTTTAAGATTTTTTATTACAAATATAGTTTTGGGTCTATATTTGCATATTCATAAACATGCATCATACAAAGATTATTGCTTATTTTATTAATACGCGAATCGTTAATTTTACAGAAAAATGTCGCTTAATGCATTATCAATAATACTTAACAAAAATCAACTTGTGGGAGAAAACTACATTTACTGGAAAAGGAATCTTAATATTGTTCTTATCGCTAAAAAACACAAATTTGTGCTAGATGAAGTTTGTCCTGAAACCCCTAAAGATGACTCCACGGGATCTCAAAAGGCTACATATGAAAAGTGGCATCATTCTGATGAGATGGCCCGTTGTTATATTTTGGTATCCATGTCAATTATATTACAACAAAGACATCAGAATATGCAAACTGCTTTTGACATAATGAAAAGCCTTCAAGAGATGTTTGGACATCAAAGCCGACAAGCTAGGCAAGCCTCTATTAGGGTAATCATGAACACACGCATGAAACTGGGCGTACCTGTAAGGGACCATATGTTAACCATGATTGGTCACTTCAATGCTACGGAGGTTTTAGGAGCTGACATTGATTCCGAGATGCAGATTAACATGGTCCTTGAGACTCTTCCTGAGATGTTCTCACAATTTATAGTTGATTATAATCTACACAAGATGGACATGTCTCTGACGAATTAATGAAAGAGCTCCAAAATGTTGAATCTGTTCTAAAGGCTAGGAGTGGAAGTGCTTTGACTATTACAGCCGGACCTTCTCATCCTAAGCCTTTTGGTGGCAAAGGAAGAAAGAAGAGGAAGAGGCCAAACAAAAGGCCAGATAGCAAGTCCAAAGGGGAAGAAAACTACTGTCGATGGGAAACCAAAGGGAAAGTGTTTTATTTGTGGACAAAAGGGTCATTGGAAGAGGAACTGCTCGGATTACCTATTTAAGGGGAAGCAAGGTAAAGGCAATAATGCCCTATTCATTGAGTCATGCTTAGTGGTTGATTCTACTAATACCTAGATTATAGATTCTGGAGCCACTAATCATGTTTGCAATTCTTTATAGGGGTTCCAGGAAACCGAGCATCTCAGTGAAAGGAAGTACACTCTTAGGGTTGGCACAAGAGTAGTCGTATCTGCCAAAGCTGTTGGCACTTTTACTTTATGTTTTGAGAATCGTAGGCATTTGATATTAGATGACTGTTATTATGTTCCCGAACTTACATGAAACTTGGTTTCCATTGCACTTTATATCATGTTGGTTATTCAGTACTTTTTACCCGTTCTACGGTGGTTATTAAGTTAAACAATTCTGTTATATGTTCGGGTCATATGGTTAATAGTCTTTATGTCTTAAGTCCTTTGATTAACTCTATACATAACACTACTACTGCTAAGAAAAGAAAGAGGTCGTCTAATACTAATGAAACTCTCTTATGGCATCTTATATTGGGTCATATCAATCTAAATAGGATTCAAAGATTGGTAAAGGATGGTCCTTTAAATGAGTTAGAGGTGGAATCTATACCAACTGGTGAATCTTGTATAGAATGAAAGATGACCAAGAGACCCTTTAAGGCTAAGGGACTAAGAGCTAAAGAGGTTTTGGAATTAGTACATTCCGACGTTTGTGGACCTATTAGTACTCGGGCTAGAGGAGGATACGAGTACTTTATCACCTTCACAGATGATTACTCTAGATTTGGATATATATACCTTATGTCTCACAAATCCAAAGCTTTGGAGAAATTCAAGGAGTTTCGAACGGAAGTTGAGAAACAATTAGGTAAGAGTATCAAGGCCCTTCGATCTGATCGAGGTGGCGAGTATCTATCCCAAGAGTTTAAGGTCTATTTATCGGATAATGGGATGTTATCCCAATTGAGTGCACCAAGAACTCCCTAACAGAATGGTGTCTCAGAAAGAAGAAATCGAACTCTTTTAGATATGGTAAGATCAATGATGAGTTATTCCTCATTACCTATATCCTTTTGGAGATATGCACTACAAACAACCATTTATATCTTGAATTTGGTTCTATCGAAGTCAGTTCCCAAGACACTTCTTGAATTGTGGAATGGGCGCAAGCCCAATTTACACCACATTCGGATATGGGGATGTCCAGCACATGTGCTAAAGGGAAAGACGGATAAGATGGAATCAAGAATAGATGTTTGTTTCTTTGTAGGATATCCAAAAGGAACGAGAGGTTACTACTTCTATAATCCTCTTGATAAGAAGGTATTTGTTATTACAAATGCAACCTTCTTAGATGATAACTATATAGAAAAATACAAGTCTACTACTAAGATTCTATTGGAAGAGATGTTTGAACATGGTTCAAACAACTCAGTTCCAGATTTTCATATAAAATCGAATAGTGATGACTTGGAACCTCCTACTGAACCAATGGTGGTTGATGAAGCAAGTGAGCAAGTGATGCCCACAGGGCCTCATAGGCAAATAGAACCAGAGGTAGTAGAGAACGAGGCACCCATTGTTGTATGTCCACATGTCCCATCAAATGGGGATAATGAGGATGTTGTTCCTAACCAAGAATAGGATCAAGTAGTGGGAAGAGAGGAAGGGCCTTTGGTCATACTAGACAATTAGGCACCTTCAACCATTACTCGTAGTGGAAGGGTTGTGAGATCACCTTCTAGGTACTTCCTCTATGGAGAATTCTATCGGGCGATATCTACTAAGCAAGAAGAAGATCCCACTTCATTTAAGGAAGCAATGGAGGATGTAGACTTTGAATCATGGAAATTAACCATGAACTCAGAAATGGAATCTATGTATTCCAACAAGGTTTGAAATCTCGTAAATGCACCTAATGGGGTAAAGCCTATAGGATCCAAGTGGGTTTATAAAAGGAAAAGAGATATAGATGAGAAGGTTGAAACCTTCAAAGCAAAGGCTATTGGCTAAGGGTTTTACCCAAATAGAAGGCATCGACTATGAAGAAACCTTCTCACCGATTGCCATACTTAAATCTATTCGAGTCCTTTTATCCATTATCGCTCATTATGATTATGAGGTTTGGCAAATGAATGTCAAGACAACATTTTTAAATAGATGTCTTGATGAGACCATTTACATAATACAACCTGAAGGGTTTGTGAAAGAAGGCCATGAAAGGAAAGTTTGCAAGTTGCATAGGTCCATTTATGGACTCAAGCAAGTGTCCAGATCTTGGAATGTAAGATTTGATCAAACCATCAAGACCTATTGTTTTGAACAAAATCTGGATAACCTTGTGTGTACAAGCGAATACAAGGGAAGAAAGTAGTTTTTCTGATTCTTTATGTAGATGACATTCCACTCATTGGAAATGATATATGGACATTATCATCTGTAAAGAAATGGTTGTCACAGCAGTTTGATATGAAGGATTTGGGAGAAGCTGGTTATGTTTTGAGAATCCGTATCTTGCTAGATAGGAAAAACAGAAGGATTGCATTATCCCAAACTTCATATATTGACAAAATATTATCCAGATTTGCAATGCAGAATTCCAAAAAGTGACAACTTCCTTTTAGAAATGGAATTCATCTATCTAAAGAGCATTGTTCCAAGAATGTAACGGAGATAGATTACATGAGAAAGGTTCCTTATGCTTCGACTGTGGGAAATCTCATGTATGCTATGTTTTACACTAGACAGGATATTTGTTATGCTATGGGTATTGTTAGTCGTTATCAGTCTAATCCAGGATCAGAACATTAGGTAGCGGTGAAGCATATACTCAAGTATCTTCTGAGAACGAGAGATTATATGCTTGTCTACTCAGGACATGATCTAAATCCTATTGGATATACTGATTTCGATTTTCAATCCAATCGTGACTCTAGGAAGTCTACATCGGGATCAGTATTTACACTGGGAGGTGGAGTTGTGGTATGGAGAAGTATCAAGCAATCTTGTATTGCTGATTCTACCATGGAGGCAGAATATGTAGCGGCTTGTGAAGCTGCTAAAGAAGCTGTATGGTTCAAGAAATTAGATATCATTTTCCAAATCGAATGTTTCTTATGTCGAAAATGGGTCTTAAATGAGACTAAAAATCTGAAGTATACTTTAGTAATCCAATATTCATGTCTTAGTGCCACTAAGGTGTCTAGAATTATTTGGGGTTCTACAACGTCAATTCATAATGTGATTTTACAGAACACTACTTGAAGAATGGGCATCAAACTAACAGTATCTTACTGGGTATTCTTAAATACTTACTCTTACAATAATTTTACAGGTTAGTGCAGGTCGATTGAATCTATGGCAGGATGGTGATATGTGCAGCCAAGTGGATGGAAGAAAAAAATAAATATTAAGTTTTTTGTCTTTAAATATTTATTAGTTGGTTTTAAAGTTCAAAGTCGTGTTATTTAATTGGTTAGTTGAACATGTTTATTTTTTAAAGATATTAGTTCCACGTTTAGTTTAAATTTATGGATATTTCAGTTATTTTATTCTTAAGAAAATTTTATTTTTTTGTTCCGTATTTAAAATAAACAATTTTTGGTAACACTTGAGGATTTGTGAAATTTTGAGGTGTTACAAAGACATTGGTTAAAAGAAGTATTTCAGTATACAAGATACACAAAAACTTTCAGTTCAAAGTGAGTAATTCATATAGGAAGGAATGTGTGTTGAAATGCATAGATGATAATTATAATAGAAGAACATAAATATTCTAAGTAAGATATATGAAAAAAATATCATAAATGCTTAATAACAACATCTTGAGAGATCATCATCAAGCAATCGGATCAATTACAAGAATTATGACATATGAGAACAACAAACTTAAATACCTCTTCATGACATTAGGTGTGTTTATTCAAGGATAGAGTACGGTAGACCAATTATAGTAAGAGGATATTTCATTGGGTGTCAAAATTTGAGTATGAATTATCGAAAATGTCATCTTTTAAATTGTCTATCAAAAATGTCAATTTAGGACAATTTTGCCCCTCTGAATCATTACAATACCTTTTGTGTCCTTGTACCAAAACTGAGTAATTGTCAGATGAAATGACAATTAGTGTTGGAAATCAAACCAAAAAAAAAAAAAAGAAACAAAAGAAAACATAAAAAAAAACAAACAAATTACACATGAAATAAAAACAAAGGAAGGAAGAGAAATCGAAAGACACAAAATCCCCAATCTTACTCGTCTATCTCACTGAAATTGACCATCGCCCAGCCGTCAATGAAATTGGAAGTTTTGCTGCAATCGCCCGCCAGCCCACCGTCGAAGACCACCGGCAGAACTTTCGGCGTCAAAGGTCCAATACGATTCTTCAGGTTTGGTGTTTTCTTTCGATTTGGTCGCTGCTGTGTAAATTTTTTACCTTAATCGGAATAAATGTTGTTGGTTCACGGAGGAAAATGTAATCCTTTGCTCGATTCTATGTATCAAATTCTTTGAATTCATTTTGTGAATAGGTAAAAGATCGGACTGTTTTATCAATTTCCTTTAATTCTTCTTCTTTGTTGTTCAGTGTGCTTGAGCTCTTCGAGATATGAAACGGTAATCTTCCCTATTTGGTGGAAAAAATTTTAAGTCGATTTCGGTTATTTTTTTCTTAGTTTGTTGTCGATGTAGATTCGAGTGGTTTATGTTTTTTTCCTTCAAAAAAATCTTCAATTAATTTATTTTGAATTTGACCACTGCCACTGCTTTTCTCGTTAGGCCAAAATTTTGAATCTTGTATTTCTTACTTTTGTTCTGACCATTGTCATTATTGTATTTTGATGTTTTTGTGTTTGATGGTGTTACTTTAGTCATTTCCTAGGGATGTTCACAAGGATTATCAGACTGTTAGAAGATGGGATTACTTATCTTCCTTATGCTTCAATTTTTCGCTAAATGTTAAACTCTTATTACTCTAGCATGCTTGCTAGGATAACCTTAGAAATGAACTAAAGTCTTACAGTAAAATGGTTTTTGGATGAAAATTTTAAACTTTAAGCTTTTGCATTTTCTCGGTGATAAACTACATATTTGAATATGGAGTTTGTTTTGTTGTTACAATACTATTGTTTTCAACTGACAAAAAGTAGCCCCCGTTTGATGGCCATTATTTGGAGTTGGTTCTGCTGTTACGATACTATTATTTGCAACTGCCAAAAATAGCCCCATTTTGATGGCCATTATTCTGAGAAAATAGAGTTTTGAATAGTGATTGTTTGAATAACATATGGCTAAATTGATTTTATGTGCAAAATATTGTATTGTGTAATTATATGGTTGAAATGAGTATGAGAATTAACGAGTGTTGAAATAACGGTTGGTAATTGGGGCTTAATTTGTGTAACTTCAAAATTGTCTGCCATCTTGTGCTTTTTAAATTTTGAGTAGTTCAACTAATGAATTTATGAGGATCTAAGAGCCTCTCGGTATACTTTTAGGCACTTTATCGCATTTCAGGCCCATAAAAAATTGTGATGCTTAAAGATTTTTGTTTGGAGGGTCATTTTTCAAATGAACAGGGAAGTGAGTTAGTTTGATTAGATACCCATTGCTTGCAATATGAAGCACGATAAAGGCTGTATGCTAAGTTATTGTCAATTTACTCGTGTCTATTCAGAAAGAAACTGAGGTATGAACAAATCATAGAAACCACTCTCTTGTGGCTTTAGTGCTCACAAATTGTGGAGAATTAATAAATAGTATGGTTAGATGGAAAGGAACTTCCATTTTACCTGGTTAAAATTTCATTTTAACATTTTTCTTGTATCTGCCCCCATTATTTGCACGTAGCAAACAACAACGCAGCTTTTCATTCATTTCATTTCACAGTAGTCCTCATCTTTGAGTATGTGTTCATATCCTACAAGCAAATGTGTTGTATAACATGTTGACCGAATTTCTCTAATGTCTTCCGGACCTTATTCACAATCTTTGATTTTTCCCCATCATTTTGTAATGAAATGTGGTCATACTTGACATCTAATGGCAGACATTGCTTTTTTGTAGAAATTTGTTGGCTTATCTATATCTGAAGGCTATATTGCAATTGGCTAGGAAACAACTTTTGAGCATGGAGAAGTGTACATTTTGGACAATGGACGAGAGGTTTAAAAAGGCATCCTTCAGTTAAGATCTGTTTGGTTAGATATAAATATTTGGTTTCTCTTGACTTTAGTTTTAATTCCGTTATTACAATGTGATTCATGCTATTGGACTATCATTACAATGTGATTCATGCTACTGGACTATCTTTTGAAGATTGTTGCAATTTCATGTTTTTTCTATAGCATGTAGTCTTACATGTAAATTCTGGTGTAAAATCCTGAATAAAGTGGAGGTTAAAAGTAGAGTCTACGCCAAATAAATGACTTATCTCCAATTTTTTGAAGTTGGACCTCAACCATGAAAACTACGAGTAGTTTGTAGATATAGCCCATGTTTAATCCCCATTGCTGGGGAAATTAATGCATTTCGAATAGTAAATTGATGGAGAATATATAGTTGAAAATTAAAGAAAAGTTTTGGATTTGCGTTTAATATTATTTTATTGAACAATGTGTGGTTGAAAATGAGTTTTGAAAAAAAAGATTTTTAAGAAGAATGGAAATCAAAAAAGGGCATAAAATTGACTCGCGACAATATTATTATTGGAAAATTTACTAGGCAAGTTCTAGGTTTATTATTACTATTTTTAGAGAAAATCTAATTCATGTCTGTTATGTTGAGATCCTTAATGCATTAGAATATTTTAATTTTCTAGGAACAGGGACATCGAATTGATGTAACCAATAGTTAAGACATATAATTTTTGTTTATATGTAACGCTATTTCATAGCGAACTGTATTATAGCACGCACCTTGCACGTGCATCTACTAGTTTTATTTAAAAATTCAAGTATTGAGTCTTATTTATTTATTTACATTTCATTAATCTGCAAAGTCATCATATTGCATCCAACTTTTGTCAATGGTTTGATCTGAGCAACATCTACAATTCAGATTATGTAACTGTTTTGAGCAAATGAAATGAGAAATAATTTAAATGGAAGTCTGTTAATTTTCAAGTAATGTAAGGTTGTGTGCATAACATAGGTTCTTTGTGCAATTTAAGTGAGGAAATTATTGATGGAAGTATTTACCTTAAGAATTCTTGAAACTCCAGTAAATGCTGTGTAACTTGTGGTGCATTTCTTGATAATTTATGGAAACAACCTTTTTGTTTGACATCTGGTGCTAAGCATGCTGAGGTGCACAATGCATTCCACTATAATTTTACTTGTGAAACAAAATATATTAAAACCACTTTTCTTAGGATGCCTTTTATAGATAACATTTAGAATTATACTCTGATGTGGAATTTGTTGAATTATATTATACTTTATGAACTTGTAGAATTATATTAAACTTCGAGCAATTACCTATGAAAAAAATGTTATTCTTCAAGCAATTGTTATACAATTTGAAAAATACTTGGGAAGAAGTTTATATAATGTACACATCTGTTGAGGGGCCATTGTTTAGCTGGATTATTAACGGTATTGATTTCACAGGGGAAAATTCGTAAATAACTTTTTAGTTCATGTTGATTTTTTCCACAAATTGTCCTTGTTCAATTCCTTGTTTCTTTCAATAGCGTACTTGCCACAACTCTTCCGTTCTTACGTACAGGTAGTTCGGTTTAATTGCTGACAATATTTATCCATTCCATGTCAAAGCAATAGGACGCCCGCCGCCGTTCGCCACTACCGTCGCTGTAAGCTTCTCTCTTCCCCCCTCCCGCTTAGTTTTCTAATTTTCATTTATTATTTCCTTCGATTTAATTTACAGTAATTTGCATTTCTCTTCAAGTGATGTGAATTTCATTCGATGTCCTTGCATGTCAATGTTGTTCGCCTGCACATGTCAGTTTAGCAAGCAGACCAACTCCCAGCTAACTATCATACCCGAGGTTTCACCTCAATTTTTCTTGACAGTTAACCCTCCAAACCGTTGGTATCCGTAGGTCTCGACAGATGATCTATCGGTACCGACGGTTGACTTCAATTTTTCTCGACACTTCACTGTTCTGGCACCTCATTTCCCTTCATTAAATTGCTATATACGTTACAATTGTTTACGCTCATCCCATAACCCCGTTTATATGAATATACCTTGCAGGCATGATGGAGTTCAAATTTCGTATTCCGGAAAGTGCAAGGTTGCGGGCCCACATTTTACAACGTAGCAACCTCAAGTATGTGAAGACTGTCATGGACCAATTCGACGAGCAGCATCGGGAGGACTTCCGTAATTCATCTCTTAGGTATCTGGCCGACGTTCCGGACATTCAATTCTCTGGCCAACTCATCCAACAGCTAGTTTTCAGAACCATCCGCATCGATAAGCTGTATGAGCTATGGTTCAGCATGCAAGGGCATCTTATGAGATTCGGTCTACAGGAGTATGCGCTTGTGATAGGGTTAAGATGCGGTGCATTCCTAGAGGGTACTAAATTCGATCGATTGCTATAGGGGAGGCGATTGAAAGAGAGGTACTTCAAATCCAATGACAAGATTTCGTTGGCTCAACTGCAGTCTGCTATAGCCCAAAGTTCGATGCCTCGACCTGATCACTACAAGCTAGGGCCGGTTCTAATTCTTGAGGGAGTTTTCAATGCTTCGCATAAGAATGTCGGTATCCATTTGCCTACACTATCAATCGTGGACGACTTGGACTTATTTTTTGCCTACCTTTGGGGTAGGGTCAGATATAGGCGTCTGTTGCACGGATTTCGGGGTACTTGGGCAAAAAAATTTCAAAAGGCAAAGAGGATGAAGGAGAAGGAGATTACTTACACAGTCCACGACTTCCCCATTGCCATGCAGGTATGAACATTGGTTGCATTATTGTACCATGCCCGATTTTCATCTCTGGTAGCGTCGTTCGTAGAATATTATGAAACTGAATTTGTGTTTCTTCTTGCCACAGGTTTGGGCGTACGAGGCACTTCCAGAGGTTGGGGAACGTTTTGCCGAGCGAGTAGGCGAACGACTGCCATGACTTCTTCTCTGGTCGACAAGGAAACAACCACAATATCATACATATGATGCATTCTTCAAGAATGTCGAGGTATACATATAATAGGATCGCAAGTTCCATTTCGATCGTTTCGTTACAATGTTGTACCTTCCAATGTGAGTACTGTAACCTTGTTTTGTAGCTCCACGTGTACGCAACACTACGGCCCACCGATGCTGAGGAACAACAACCCTATTTTTCGACTCTCATGCCGTACGATGAACCCCCGGTTCCGATTCTAGATGACATTGCAAGGACCGTTGTCGCGCCACAGTTTAATGCATCAGGCGGTGATGGTCGTGACGGCGGATATGCGGCAAGGAAGGATTCCGAGGAGGAGGCATCCGAAGGAGGAAGAAGTGAGGAGCAGACGTCCGGAGGCGATGAGGAAAAAGGTGTGTCGGGCAGTGATCTAGACGGTTAGGACAATGAGGATACTGGCGAGTCTCACGGTTTGGGCTCCAGCACCAATGAGGACACTCGTGGAGGAGCTAGGGGTGCCTCTTCCTCACCTCGGCCACCGTGAGACCCTTCTCTAGAGTGACGGAGCACAACACAGGCAAGAGCCGTAGGAACATTTGCACCCAGCCTGACCAGAGGGGACGTGGAGGAGCTGCTCTTAGACCAAAGAATCCTATTTGAAATGCGACTCTAGACAGTGAAGCCCAAAATCCAACAGCACGTGACCTCAGAATGTACAAGTCTTCGAGAGTTCTTAGCTACCCTCGTGGCCCGAGCTGGTCCGACTACCGCAGAACCTGCGACGAGGGCCGAGACGGAGGCCGACGTCTCGGGTTCTTTACCAGAAGGTATGCCTGTTACCTACGTACAGCTTTTGCTTTACAATTTTAACCAACGTTCATCATTACTCATCATACCTCTGTCTGACGTAGTATTGTTCTTGTTTCAATTGTGATGTAGACATTTATGGAGGACCCGCGGAGCCATGCCCATACGAGTCGGACATCTCAATTGACACAGGAAATATGCAAGGTATGTGGATTTTTCATTTGTACAATCTAAATTTATTACTTCATGTACTTTGCATGGTTAGAAAATTTCCCCACTTATTATAATGAAACTGTTATAATGTTGTTTTCATCAGACGCAGCACACATTGCGCCAAGCCAGGACGATCTGAACCTGCCAGTGCCCGCTGCAAGCGAAGAAGTGCAAGGTACTGCGTCCTTTACGAGGGTCTTTTTTTTCAATTGTATTTAACGGCATTACACTTGCATACGCGTTGTACTGGTCAGATGTAGGAGCCACGGAGCCCTCGAATGACGTCGGGGATGACGATGAAGAGGTGGACGGTTGCGATGCGACGGATGGCGATGGTAAGTTAACTGGGTATATTGGTAGTGGTTCCATTACACACTTTTGATCACATGCAATTTTGGTAACTAACTTGGCTCGTCTCTATTTTCTATAGGCGTTGTCACTGAAGTCCCAGCTCCCGAGCCGATACCCGAAGCACGAGCCGAAGTTCCTAAAATGAGACGACGCTCGGCACGGTTGCGATGACCAGCTATTGCTACGAGGCTCTATATACGGGAGGGGAGGGCGAAGAGAACCAAGAAGTAGCTGTTCTTAACTGGCCGGAGAGCACAACGATGGTTCTGAACTCGTTTTTGGGTGGTGACTGAATCGGTAGACGTTTTGTTGGGATGTTAACTGGCTGGATTTTGTATCATTGATATGGTTTTTGTTTACCTTTACATTTTACGTACTATTGGGATACTGTGGCGATGCTTTCTTGCATTCATCACATTTTGCGTTGTTGGTGTTGAATGCTATGTCGATTTTAGGAAAATGCTGACAGTTTTAGGTACCAATACAACATATGTTCAACTTATTTTCTGACTTTTATTACATGACTCTTCCGGGAAATTTAAAATTCCCGATGACGTTATTGTTCTGCATATTTTCTGTCAACTTTATTGTTCTTAGTGTTACATGTTTTCAGTGATTTCACCTGATGTGTTCAGTGGTTATCCGTGTATGGTATACATATGCCATTGTAGTGTTCTCTTGAATGTTGTTTCATTAGTCCGAGGATGGTGTACATATGCC